ATTATTATTATTATTATTATTATTAAACAGCATTGTGAAATCACAGCTGCCAGTTCTTTAGCTGGTGTGGGCCTTTATTGGCATTGAGTTCTTTCCAAGGACCTAGGATGTCATAACATATCAGCGTAGTATATGTGTGGATCCAAGCAGTGTGGCCTGTTGTAACTGGCAGATGGAAATTTTATCAATGTGCAGATTTTCTAAGTGCCATCCAAGGCTTTTTGGTGTGGCACCCAGTGTGCTGGTAACAACTGGGACCACCACTGCCAGCTTATTATTATCATTATTATTATTACTTAGAAGCTTATTATTACTACCTAAAAATAGAAGCTCTATCTGTAGTTTGTCATGACATCCAAATCAGGAGCCCTGACTTCTCTTCTTGGATCTGAAGCCATGGTTTGTTCTTAGCTTTCAATTTTGGGCTTGTTTGGAAGAGAGAAACCAGAGATCCCAGTTTCCATGTCAAAATGAGAAAAAGCTTCTGCTGCCTGGTTAGTTGTTCTCATTGGCAGGTGATGCCAACCAGCTGTGATTTGATTGACATGTGCTACAAGGCTTGTTCCTTCATAGTAAGTCAGAATTTTGGAAAGTCCTGGTTGTTGTGTTACCCAAAGCTCCCCCCACTCCAAAAAGTAATTAATGAAACCAACATTCAGGAAGCTTGAAAATTACAAGAGTTTCATATTCCTATCCTATTCTAATTACTCTTAAATCTCAAAAAGGTGCTTCAGACCTCAAATCCTTGATGCAGTGCTCCCTAGTCCAGAAATGTTTATCCAGAAAAATTGGCTTTTTGGCACTGTTGAGTAACATCATTTAGTGTACAGATGTAATTGTGCAATTATATCACATAAGAAGGAAACCTTGAAAGAAAACTCTCCAGAATAAGGTAAATTGGCTTCTTTTAATGTCAATTAAAATAAGCGCTTTCCAGAATTCTCTCCCTCAACGATTTATTGTAATGTATATTTACAAGTTCCCATCCTAAAGATCAGGCTAGATCACCTATACATGGATATGGTATTCCTTCCCCTGTACCTTGCTATACCAGAGGCACCTAGTTAACAATTATATGCAGTCCTTGGTGCTCTGGCTTGGTTGTTTGGTTGCAGACTTTTCATCACCCAACCAGATAACATCATCAGTGTGAGTGAGTGCGGGGTTTGTTTCCTGTTTATATATAGTAGCTTGTTCTGTTCGCTTTAGTGTGAGTGTGGTTTTCTCCTTGGTAGTTCCTTGATTAGAGTATTGTTTCCTTCTTGTTTGCCTGGTGTTAATCCCTGCTTATCTGGGTGCTGGCTGCTGGAGGGGATGTGTTCTGGTCTTTTTGTTGCCTTCTTAGGTTTTTAATTGTCTCTTTTGAATGGTGTGTAAATATGATGTATTTCTATAGAGTTTAAGAGAGAATTATCTCTATAGAGTATATAGAGTTATATAGAGAGACAGTTATCTGTATAGAGATAAACCATATTTATACACCATCGGAGCATTTGCAGCTGTGGCGAGGTTGCCTTCCTGTTTGTTTATAGGATTAAAACAATATTATGAATTATATAATTACAGTGTGTGTGTGTGTGTGTGTATGTGTTCACACACACACACACACACACATTCACACTCACTTTATTGGTCATAAAATGATCAGAAATGTTTTTTCCCCTGTTGAAAGTTGATCTGGTATTATCTGGAGGTTGAGTCATGGCAAGTGGACTTCTTTTCTTTGGGTTAGATATGTTTTGCTGCTTGTCCAAGCAGCTTCTTCAGTCTAGAAAGTTGGTTGGGGAGACCCCATAAATGTCTTCCAGGGTGGCAGTTTCTCACATGATGGGCTCCTTGAAGGGACAGTAGGAGAAGTGATTAGTAGAGTCTTTGGGATGTGGATGTCTTGCTCCTAATCCCTCATTCAGCCCCAAGTGGGTCGTTAAGTGCTGCCTCCCTGGTGACCTTGTGAAGTGGTCTTAATCTTTCTGGGGACTGAGCAGCATGAAAAATGTCTGAGGCT